CTAAAAATAAATTTCCTTAATGTGGGCTCACATATTAGTCTTGTGGTTAACAGGAGATAGCAAAAATGCTATTTGCTAATTTCGCATACGCTTTATCAAAAGTCGTTTTTATTAACAACCTAATAATTTAAGGATTTGAAGGTAACTGGGAAATGTGACTTGTGTTTATTAATTTGACATCCCTGCATTACATTCTATGTGATTGGAGTGCCTTGGCAACCCATTGGTCACATGATGTCCTTATATTAAACAATTATGGCCACTTCCGAGGAAAACAAAATGACTTCCCAAAGAAAGTGTTTATTCAAATTAATTTAACACGACCGTTTTTGCCTAATTCTAACCGATCATAATTAAATACGTAATGATAATTTATGCGTTATAAGTTCCATTTTAACATATTTTGTAATTTTAAGGATTGAATTATGGCATGATTTTTATTGAACCTTCCACTTTCAGCTTTTTGCAAACGAAATCAATATCACAGAGCAGCTAAAATAGTAATCCAAATGTACCGTATATTGTTAATCAGTAGACTAATCAAATTATGACGTTAAATTGAGAGAGTAATAGAAACGCAAAAAACTTGAGAAATCACTACTCCTATTTCCTGAGAGAAAAAAATAATGTATGGCTGTTTTCATGCTAATCGCTAAAGTATTGTCTTTTCTCTGCACTTTTTTTAAATCCAATGTTTGCAAAACTAATGGACAAAATGATTTCAACTGAAAAGATTCGGCTTTTTAAAAAAGAGAATTAGGATGATTATAAGATGTTGGCAAAGTCATAAATAGCTAAATTTTGTCCAATCGGATTCAAAAATGGGAAGGAATTAAATGCTGGGTACAAATTAACCATTCCAAATGCTATTTCGGCTCTATGATATGTGATGACTTTCAGTAGAGCACTATTTGCTATTGTCTTATATTTGATATCCTGAGGTGCATCATCTGTAAATCAGGCAAATAACAAATGCAAAGTTACTAAAAAGTTGTACATTTTTCAACCATTGACGTTTTTTTTCATCTCATCATCCCTCAATAAGCATTGATTTGCTAAATCGAAGCTAACTCAAAATGCCTGTAATTTACTGATTATCGTTCAAATAAGGCAGTTTCATCTTCGTTTGGTCTATTTTAAAGAAACTCGTTCAGTGTTTTATTTTTGTTTGGAACGCAGGCGTTTTAAACTGCCTTAAAAGCTAATCGAGACACATAGATGCAAAATTTAATGAATTCACAGCACCCAACCAGGTAATGTCTTTAAAAAATTCTAAATCATGCAAATGCAGTACGAGGGAAGTAATTCGTAGTCCAAATGCAACAAACGTTACTTAACAATTGTCGTTCACATCAGGCTTGGTGTGTTTTTCTGATTTTGCAGCCCAGTCAATTTTCTTTCTCATTATATATCGGATTTATTATTAAACTTGATAATGAAAAGAAACTTTCGCCAATCATATAATTGGCTTAGTTGTCATATAAACAAGAAAACAGCACGAAAATTCTAAAACATGTAGCTTTAGTGTTGAAGGCGTTAGGAGGCAAATGAGGTGAGGAGGGCAAAGTGAATCAATTGACATTGTAAGGTTAGCTTACCCAAGACCGTATTTAATGACCTAGCTTTGTGACAGTAGCATCATAATGGTGTAACGTGTACCATCATAATAAACATCATGGATTCTGTTCACTCGATAGAGTTGGGGTAGATTGACCAATTCCGGGAACAATTTTCATACTGGGCGATTTTGCCATAGAGGTTTCTGAGGTTCTGTCAGAATTTATTTGTTCGGCACTTGTAGCAAACCTAAAAATTACTTTGAATCTCGATTATACAAGTAAAAAAATTAGGCTACCTGCCTAACAAAAATTCACGTAAGTTAATAAAAACAGAAATCTTGAGTATAGGCTGATCTTCATTCAAGGTATTTGAATTTCAAGGTCACAGATGAAAAATAAAAAAATAAAATGAGTAAAAGATATCGTTTTGAATGCACTCATACAAATGGAAATGCCTTATGTTAGTTAAATAAATCCATAATTATATTAATCTATATCCAATTTATTATTTTTTATTCATACTTTTAGTTTATCATTCGGAGAAAACTTTAAACTTGAACGCTGAGATAACTTTAATTCTGGCTCCAGTGTTTTGCAACTGAACATTAAAGTTAGGGCTCTCCAAAATTATTTACATAACAAAATTACCTTTATTAATGAAAGATATTTTTTGCCATAGAGTTACTTTCATTATCCTGTGTATTAAAAAGTGCATATATTTTAGGACTTTTGTAATGAAAATTCGATGAAAACGCTTTACAGTTGAATAGTTTTACTTCTGTTAAGGCTGATTATCAGTAGTTTCTTGTTTGGTGTAGTGAGTGTTTATGTACCAACGAATTTTAACAATGTTGTTCAGAGATGTCCGCCCAAATGATGGAGCTGAGGTATATGAAGTATTTTACGTGACGTATAAGTATGCCAGCGATAAGTCCTATCAATATTATATTCCCAGCATAATGTCACTATTTCGGAACTCGAAGGTAATTATGTTTAAAATCAGTGCCCTTCATGTACCTGGATTTTGAATGTAGAACATTCTTTCATTAAAATGGAGTGGGTTCAAATTGGCCATTAAGACAGATGAACAATGTATTGATTGAATTCTGGCGAGGCGTATCTTGACTTATGCTTGGTAGTTCAAAAATTATGAATATTGATTTTTTTCTAATATATTCAAAATCATTCAGCCATGCACTTCTTAATTTTTTATTTAATTTGCTCAATGGGACAAAATTTCACGTCCAAATTCTTAAGAAAGACCCATTTCTCGATTAATAAACAATAACGTTTTTCTTGCAGTAGAATAAAACTCGAGATTACTGGAAGGATATTAATTTACTTAAATTCGAGACCTAATAATTAATTGATATGTTATCTTAATCGCTTTAAAAATGAATTTGTTTGCTGATTTATTGTTTCTTTTTGTTTCGCTCTTTATTGTAATATAAATTTGGTTGCAAGTCCACGAATGATATGATCGTCTTCCTATTTCTTCATAATCTTCAAAATTGATACATGAAAAGAAATATAGAAGCAATTCTTAACTGTTAATTTTCATTAATCCTACTTGTAAGTAAATAGGTCCTTTGTAAGGTAAATTAAATAAAATGCAAAAAATTACATACGAATTTTACCTTGATTTTGATTCTAATTATGACATTAATCATGGCACATTACGCATAATTAAACACAAGTTTTGACTTTTTAGGATGGAAACTCATTTCTATCATTGATTTAAGTTATAATTGGATTGAAATTAGAAATCAATTAAATATTAAAAATCACTTTAATGAGAGCCATAAATAGTAGCGAATTGAGGTAAAACCAGCTTTAATGTTAATTAGAATGCATTAGTATATTCGTAAATCATATTATTAATGAAATATTTAATCGAATTATTTGCACTAGGTGACAGAAAATTTTGTTCGAGTGGAACAACATCAAGAGCAGTCCCATCGCTATTTGAAACAAAAGCCTTGCTGTTTTACCGTTTGTAATTTGATTAATGAAAAAATATATGAATATTAGGATTATTAAAAAGTAATCAAGAAGCCTAAATTAAAGCATGGACTCCAGTAATCTTTGATTTAGCTATTAATTTTCTCGTATGAAGGATATTAATTTTTTATTATCAAATATTCAACCCCCCCCCCTGTTTCTTGAATAAAGCAATATCCAGAATATTGAAGAAATATTTATCAATTGAATTGATTTTAAATCTGTCAGGCCCCTCTGATTTATTTATTTGTTTAATCAAATCAAGAAGTCAGGGATTTTCAACCCTTTCACATTCCAAAACTGTTCAACTAGCGTGGTAATGTGAACCACGACAGTTAAGAAAATTTCAATTACGTTTGCTAAGAAAATTTAATTTCATAGAAAACAGAATCAAAATTTAGTTAGAATTCAGGGTATTTTTATTCAGTTTTAGTCATAGACTATTTTTTTAAATAAATATTGAAATAATTCAGTTTACCTAAGTAGGCTGATTTAGAACAAACGGATTTTGAATTTTTTGTATAGGATTGTCTGACAAATCCTAATTTCCTACCTTAGTTAATTGGAAGTGCGTAAAGTTTGTCCTCTTTTCGTTAAGATTTTTGCTATTACAACCATGATCATATTGATATTGGTCATATTGGACATTTTGTTAACGTGCAATCATGTTCACTCAAAAATCAATTAAATCAGACGATCGGATCCCTTATGAATTTGAAACTGTACAAGAGTGATGACTACTTTATTTAATAAATGAAAAGTTCCAAATTTAAGCAAGTCTGAGGTCTCCTCTTTAGCAGGGACCATTTTATTCCACGTTCGCTGTTACAATATAATTATACAGGCCATATAAATACCGATTTCCTTGATCTGGAACATGTTGTAACCGAATTAATTATTTCCATTGTAATAAGGTAATTAATAATAAATATTAATTTCAGCTGATATCCTCAGCTGCTTTAAATTTCAACACGTGAGAATTTTATAATTCGAAAAATCATAGCAATGTACAATTATCAAAAACAATAATTAACCCGTGAGTTCGAACTAACAATGATATGAACGTGGATACGCTTTATTCTTAACATAGAATTACCACAAAATTAATACTGGAAAAATTTGGCACCATGTTCTCTCCATCCGACCACTAAGGTTAGTTTCTGGAACTTGTAAAATAGCTTCTAATTTGAAGGCTTTAAAATAGCGATCAGATAATTTGAATGGGCCCAACAGATTCAAAACTAGAATACGCTTTAGAACGTTATCTTGATAGGTCCCAAAGTGGCCGAAATTTAGAAGTAAAAATCAAGTTGCAGCCAGCCTCAAACCCAAATTGTTAAGAATTAACAAATTAAAGTATTTGATGTTTAATCAAAATCATTTCAAGTTTCATGCAGTCAACGATCATTCAACAAATACGAAAAAGTCAATGTATATTTTTCATTGAGTTGCACTGGCGGGAACCGGCGCTGCGCTCGGCACACACGAAAGAACACTCGAATTTGCAGGCAGCCCGATGGTTGTAGCAACTGGACTTATTGGTCCCAAAGTTTGAAAGGCAAAGGTGGCGGGTTGTTGAATAAAAGTTCCCAGTAGAGATGGATTCAGTTGCGCCAAAGGTAGCCAATTATATTGTGAGATGGCATCAGGTCTTTGCGGTTGAATACAGTGAGTGTTTACTTTTGCCAAATATTCGGCCCAGTTAATAGGTGGTAACATAGCCGGGGCCTATGATAAAAAAGATTATATTTACGATATTATTCTTTGAAGGTAAAAAATGGTGCCTTACCGGCAAAAGTTGTTGATAGGCAATCTGTGATGCATCTATTCCAACCGCTTGGGGTCCAACCTTTGTAGCAGTTGGATCAACTCTGTTCGCAGTCATCAAGTTTGCAGGAGACATATCAGACATTAAACAGCCGTTATACATCATAAATTGGTTGTATGGCGCATTCAGGGGATCGGCCACATAAATGAACGGATTCATTGCCGTTGTCGCTGTTTGAGGCAACTGCATCAAAGCAGATTGCATGGATTGGTTACGAAGAATTTTGGCTTGTTTTTCCTCTAGATACTGAGCATGGCGTCTCGCAATAATTTGATCACGAATGTGCTTGGGAGGATGGAAATAGGAGCATCTGGATCGACGACATGCTGGCTAAAACATTAAGCAGGTTGTTCGGCAATTAACAAAGCAAAATAGCCATACATGGAAACCGTCAATTCAAAGATAATACATCTTAACATTAACGTAATCTTCCGACTACCACATAGCCATTCATCATAACTACTAAATCCTTGGAAGTACTAGAGGGATATGTAAAATTAACCGTAGAAGAGAGCAAAAGTGTCCTGCTATAATACCTTTTCCATGAGAGACCTGAAATGTGCAGTATCTATTAAGGAGTTGTCTTGACACAGAGAGGCTGGAATTAAATGCACTTTTCTCATGCATACCTGGATCAGACCCATCGAGTCAAAGCATATGCGAACGTATCCATCAGCAATCTCAGATATGCCATCTTCCTCTCGTACGTGAGCTAATTGACAGAGGTTTTCATCTTTTTCATTGCCGCTTTGGAATGGACAGTTACCAGTCCTATAGAAGTCCTTACATATCGGCCAACGGCACCAATCTTGTCTCTTAACTCTCGATTGAACATGATGAGCATCTTTAACCAGAACGGTACGCGAAAACGGAGTTAAAGGTGACAAAGTTTCCTTGGACGCCGAAGAAGGTGATTCACATTTCACAACGGGTTGTTTAGAAGTAGAGACGTCCGAAGTGGTATCACTCGAATCTAAAATGAAAAAAGAAATATTAGATTTTTTTGATATTGTAAGGCAAGCATATGGTACAAACCCATGTCAACTCGTCGCAATCACAACAGACACTAAACAGGGCTCGAAAATTATTTCAATATATACTCTAATCAAGTTGCCTAATATTATTCGGTTTAGGTGACCTAGAAAACACTAATCATAGCTAACGATTCAAAAGATTTAACAAATAGCAATCAAAACGGTACATTTAAGTGACCAGTAATCAACATATGCTCGTGCGAGTAGAAAAATTTCTATCCCGAATGCGCGAAACGTGACAAGTTTTGGTCTGTTCGATGAACAAAGAAAAATCCAGGAGATTAAATCCTGAATGCCCAAAGTATTTAGCAAAGAGCGTCTATTATGGAACAAGCGTTTGCTTACAACCGCTCAGTAACTGACATTTTTAAACCAGCCCCTTTTGGAAATAGCTGTAAACCAGGAAAGTTGGAGGTGTGGGCAAAAAATCTGACTTTAAACAACAAAAAGCAAATTTAAAATTTGACAGCCTTCCTATACGTCAAAGAGCTTATAACTAGGGTTGGAGAGTAATTGCCGGAAACGATGCCACCAAGCTGTATGTTTTAAAGAACAAGAACGCTATTTTGGAACAGACGATAAAATAGCGGCTCAAAAGCTGTTACTTTAAGCACAAAGCTAGATCGGACTTACTAAAACACAAGAATGAAAACGTTAATGACTACATTCAAATGTAACTTTAATGGATTAAGGATTATACGCTGTAAATATAACGAACGCACCCGTTCTCTTTGCGATTTTTTCGGCTGGAGCTTCAGAAGACGTTGCATTAGGGCTTCTAGAACGACGACCCATACCCATGATTGTAGTGATGATTAATGGGCCATACTTTTCACATTTTTAGTGAGTAGTAATCATGTTCTTATTAGCTGGCCGAAGGCCATATATACGTCAGCCTGAAATTCAGTGAACATTATTCACCGTAGAACAGCTGATTTTAGCTTCATATCACCATGGTAATCTCAGAATTAAATGCTCAATGCTGCATTTTGATACTCTGTTTTTAGCCTATAAATGGTTATATTGATTAGAGTATAGGAGACCAAATTTTAGCAGAAGAATAGAAAAGTGCAGAAAACGGTCAACGTAAATTTATTTTCTAAATTCATTACTATTGATTATTAGAGCACTGCGATCAATTAACATACTTAAATGGGCTATTATCGATTAAAAAGTATGAAACCCAACAACTCACGCAGTTAAGGTGACTTAGACCACCCCAGGTTTCAATTAGTGCCCATTTTAAGCCATAAAAGGCAACGCGAATAAAAGTACTGAAACTAATTTTAACTTGGTGCTCTATTTTCCTTGTAAATTATGAAATTGTAAATACTTGTACATTCGTACCCATTCCGTGTTTGGTTTTCATTGTTTCTTTAAATGAATATTGCAAAAGTGGCAATGTAAGGAAATGCTTAAGCAGCTATACCCTCTTGAGGTCTTATACTTTAAAACATATAAGATTTTAATTTTATTACAGTCATAGAAGTTTTATATCCATTAAAAAGGCTTTCAGTCATTTTGGGAACCAATAGCGTGTAGCAATAAACACTGTTACATTTAATTTGAATTAATCTATTGATTCTGCTGAAAATAAGCGGCAGAACAATTAAAATATCACAATAATGATAACCAATTAATCATTGTATTCTATGTGAGTAATTGCCGGATAAATATTACGATATAACTTAATGTAGATTTAAAATCGATAAGAAATCAGCACTTTTAAGGAGTTTGAATTTTGAACTTAAACGTCACCCATCGTAAAACAGAAATATGCTCTATGTCTTTCGAAGCTTATAAAACTAAGCCGACTATAAGAATATCTTGATTTTAAGAATTCGAGTGATCTTTGATGTGGAATAATAATTATTTCTATTATTTAGATAAATAAACACACCAAACATATATTTTGATTGTTAATTAAAGACTGAGAGAACTATTGGAGGCACTATGTGCAAAGACATAGACCACGTCTAATTGAAACACGTGGCGACACAACGACATATATCAGAAAGCCACATAAAGCTATTATTTATCAATTAAAAATCCACTATTCGCTATTTCCTACTTATTTCAGTTTTTAATTTCATTCCACCGTAGAGGGATATTTTATGCTTTTCCTATCTAAATTTAAGTTAATTAGACCCGATTAAAGACTAATTATGAATTAATTTGCTAAATGAAATACTGTAACGCTTATGTGAAATTTCATCTTTCATCTTTCTCTTCTCATTCAATACTCACCAATTTCCAGTTAGTTATAATTAAAACTGCGTTAAATCAATTAAAATTAAATTAAAAATGTCCATCACCGAATTTGATTCAAGTTTAAATGTTCTTTAATTGGTGCTATATATCCCTTTTATGCAGCTCAGCGACTCAAATATCCAACCACGTCAACATCATTTAACCAATTAAAAGCAAATCCTACTTACATTCAAAGAAATCATTAAAATTTTGGAAGCCGAAATGTATAATAATGTGGTTAAACACCTTATTATATCAAAAAATATCTGAGTTGGGTGCAAATTTGGAAATTTTAAATTTAACAATGAGATATACTCAAATACACTTCATGATGAATTCTAAACACCACAATTATAAACAAAATAAATTCATTTTATATGCTAAAAATTTCTTAATTAACATGAAATATTTAATGCTTTGTCAATACTTGAAGTAAAACTTAAATCGAGATATAATTACTTAAAGTGTCGAATTTTGAGAGGCCACGTTTCGTTGTGTTTGGCGATGGTGTGAAACGGAAACTTTTCCGTAAACGTGTTTTCCTTTGAAAAGTATATATATTAAACCAAATTTTTGGATTATGCCAAAATACGTAAAATTTTGAAATTATTAAGAATATTATGTTAAAGTGACAGAAGGTAATACAATTTTTAAGCCAAATCTTCCATTTTAATCATTTTAAGCGTAAACTTCTCTAATATTCACTATGAAAAAAGTGTTTATTAATTTAAGCTATGAATTCTCAAACCATTTTAATTTTTATTCTCAATTGTTTACAAACAAATATTCAAAATTCTCGGTCACCATAAATCCTAAGACTAATGAAGAGTGTTACCCAACCACATTTTGTACTCCTAATTAAAATTTATTCAAACTGCAGACTCATTTATCCCTATCTTATTTTGCTTTATATATTTAATTAAAAAATGGAATAGTTAATGCTCATATTAAAATCTATTTCTAATTTTCTCTTTGATCAAAGGGTATTGGGTAGCAATTTCAAACCCATTAGCAAAATATTTTATTGAACCAATATTAACCACATTTATTTTTACGATCATTGTCTATGAAAATAGAAATAATTTCCACAAAGCAACAAAAGAGCAAGTAATTGTGAATGTGAAAACTGCTGAATTTTTTAAAAAGAAAT